AGAATCTCCAGAAGAGGTTCAATTCTGAAAATAAAGAAGATCTCTGTTTTTTCTTATCCAGTCAACGAGCTACAATAACAGCTTGCTGTATTATTAGGTTGTCCGGAAAGTTCTCAGCGTTTTGAGTGTTTCACTTTAAACGATCATAACTTTCTTAATACTCATCGGATTTAATCGAAATAAGCACCGTTCGAATCAGCACACTTTTGAAAATGTGATATCTGATAAATTCCATCAAAGAAAAAAAACTGGGTGGTCGAGAATCCACGAAATCCACGAAGGCTTTTTTGCCTGGTCCTGACTGATGAAGTATTTTCCAGCAAGGAAGTTCTGAAAATGTTTGAAAAGGTGATAGTCGGTTGGTGGAAGGTCTGGGATGGCGGGTGAGGTAGAACTTCAACCCCCAATTCGTTCAATTTATGGATAGTGATTTGTGAAACGTGTGGGCGGGCGTTGTCATGCAAAAGAATCGGACCCTTTCTTTTGATAAGTGTTGGCTGCAGCTGACAAAATTTTCGGTACATTCGTCGATTCCTTCACAGTAGGGTTCTGCTGTGATGGTTCGACGAAAATGTACATGGTTTGGCCTGGTGATAAAAAGTTATAGTGGATCACACCAGCCGATGACCACCACACTGTGACCATAATCTTTTTTTCGTGAGGTTCGGCTTTGAAAATTACCTCGGTGGTTCGTCGGAATCCAACCACTGTCCGGAACGTCTCCTGTTATCATACATGACCCATTTTCAGGAAGCTGCGGAACAGCAAGGTGAGTTCTCTTGAACAATTTTAAAATGTTCTGGCTGTAATTTATTATGTTTTGTGCCTATTTTATTGCCCTTTTCCTTGTATTTTTTCCTTTTTAGGGTTTTTCGATTGATGCATGCTTTCCCACCCTTTTTTTTGGCTCTTACTTCATGCTGTGTCTTAGGATGTTTCTGTTTTTGATTGAAACACTCTTTGACATCGGCCACAGCAGAAAATGTTGGGAATAAGGACGTTCCACTTGGTCTGCAGACTTCAAACCGATGTCAAAGAGTGTTGGTCATAAATTACAGCCAGAACATTTTAAAATTGTTCAAGAGAACTCACCTTGCTGTTCCGCAGCTTGAAGGGCTGAAAATAAAAAAAAATTGCAGCCGATTTTCATCGAGATCAGCTGATCGGCCGCGGCGTCTATCACTGAATAGGCGCCAGTCACCATACCGGGCGCGCAAATGGGGGCACGGAACAAGAGCGCGGGTGACTGTTGAACCGTTCTGCCAGCGAACAGCACCAAGCCGCAGCCGCTGTCGCGTCACAGGGCAGCGCGGCTGAGCCGCCCCACCGGTCCGTAATGATGAGGACTGTAACATGATCCACTTTATCACAGGTGACAATTCGGTCCAAAAACGGGTCGTTTCTGTTGCGCAGAAGCAGTGAAGAGAAACCTCGAGAAGTGCCAATTTCTGCCGGTCACTCAAATTGTGGGGCACCCACATGTCGAGTTTTCATCTTCCCAATGCGTTTCAGACCATGAGCAACAGTGGATTTGCCGACGCCTAGCTTTTCTGCAATCTCTTGAACTGTTTGGAATGGGGTCAGCTTCACAAACGCCTTCAAATCCTCGTCAGGTATTGCTTTTCGACCGCTACGAGGTTCATCTTCAAAGCTGAAATCTCCAGAATGAAATTTGTCGACCCATTGCCGCACGGTGCTTTCTCCAACGCTACTGGGCGTCGAGCTGTCTCGGACTGCGGCATTACCCATTGTAGTTGCCAGAATTGGCGTTTCACCATTGCTCGATTAACCCCCTTTTCCCCAAGGCTTTTTGAAGCATGCCAAGAGCATCTTCGGACGATATTTTTCTTTTTTCTTAAAGTATCGTCCGAAGCATTGCTCTTGACATGCTTCAAAAAGGCCTTGAGGGAGAAAGGGGGGGGAGGGGTTTAAATCGAGAAGAGGCTTTGAAACAGCCAATCTATTCCCATAGTAGCGCAAAAAATTCGCTCGGATCGTACTACTAACAGCAAGGGAGAATAGAGTTTTAATCAGCAATGAGTGCAATACAAAAAAAGATATCACAAAACATGCGAGAACTTTCCGGACAACCTAATATTAGGTCATCCCATTCAAACGTGCCGCTACATATAGAGGAATGGCAGAAAAGCAAAGGGGATAGAGCAGGCGGGTATAGATATTTAAGAGTCTATAAGCTGTATTATCTGTCGCGATTGGGCGAACTACCCCAGGAAGTTTCTCGAGAAATTGAAAAGAAGCCCGAGTGGTGAAAATCGGCGCCGGTTTTTCAAATCAGACGTCATAAGAGGAAAGTGCGCTGCTCAAATTTGACCTGCGCCGGACCATAGTTGTGTGTAAGGGTGTTCTCGAAATACACGGTGGAAGATCTTTTGGTTTCATAGCCCGTACAACGCGAAGAAAGTAAAAGCATTTGTCTGTGGATGGTCCGATAATGCTTCATCTTGGATAAAAAAAAAGGCTTGTGGATGAACTTGAACTCAAGCGCTGAAATGTCCTGATCACAGAGCCTGTGGACCTTTATCAAGCTTCCACCCGCGAGTCTGAACATCCCAGCCTGCAACTGCTGCCCAATTATCTTCGATAACTGACGATGCCGTCAAGGAGGTGTGCGCATGGGTACCTTATTTTCTTGTAGAAGCACGAACGCAGTACCTATTCTGCACCTCTAGCAGTAATGTTCTCAGCATGAGATGTCATTCACGACTGTGAAAACGCACTCCGAGCGCTCGATGATAATTATTGGGTGTCTTGGACCTCTAGCGAAACTTCACAATCTGTCAGTTTTGTATGAATGCAGTGTTAGAGAGGACGCCCGAGTTTTACCGATGAAGGCAGATTATGGGGCGCAAGGTGGGGGAATGAATCATCATAGCAACAGCCGTCACTGTCGCGGTGTATATTGTCTGCTTCCTCGGCATTCAGATCGACAAATGATGCTACCACACAACTACAAGAAGGCCACCGTTGCTCGTCATAGTGCCAGACCCCGAGTAACTGTATTGTAGATCAGTGCTGGCGACACAAACAATACTAGGCTGGGTTCAATCGCCCCATTCGCCCGTCATAAAGCCATGCGATTACAACTGTTCTATTCAGTTGAGAGTACTCTCCGACGGCAGACGCTACAATGTTTTGTCATTTGCCGAAATTGGCAACAACAGCAATTTACCCACACTTGTTGAAAAATCGAAGGTATACCAGAGGTCCCCCAAGGCTTTCGGGGCACTTTGGGCGAGCGGTCATATGGTGAAGGAGGAATTCAATAATGCTAGAGTAGAATTATCACTTTGGCAATCTATTTTCCTCTTTGTTTTATTCAAATAAAAACCGGCGACACGTTTTAAATGGGACAACCTAATACTTTCAGAGGCAATATTTACAACAAAATATTTACTCCGCATTCTCCCTGAACCCACCCACCCCACTTGCCCCACCCACTAGAGTACGACCCTAGCCGGAACACCCACCATAGCACGAATTCCCAGAAAATCTTTTCTTGAATAGGTGAGATGGAAAATGGAGAGTTTTTCTGTGCCACGTCTCTGGGACTTGCTTTTGCACATGTCTGGGAAAGCACTTTGGCCACCAATTCAGGGGAAAAGAGTCAGATACTCCGCAGTTATTTCCGTATCAAACCTTATATCTTTATAAGGTGTGCCATGTTCTCATCACACCCATCCACAGTGTGACCTGAATGGGCAGGGTCTACGCAGCGGAATAGATCTTTAGGCGCAGATCTCGAATCTGAGAATGTTTCTTGCCCGCATAGGGTGACACAGGCCAGCCTACACGAAGATAAATGCCCATTCTTTCTTGGGCTATTTATGTCACAGACAGTAGCTGGTACCTGCTTCATTGCTGTTTTCTTTGAGAGCGTTGCCCCAACTGGCTTTTTTTCGAAAAGAGTCGAAAAGGACCGGTTTTTTGCTTTTCGGCACCTTTGCCGAAAAGCAAGGTTTTTGGCATTTTTTTGCATTATATTTTATTAGTTTTTGGTATTTTTGCTCGAAGGGCGTCATATGCCCTTTTGAGCAAAAAACTCGTCCCTAAGGGGACTCCACTGCCGGTTTTTTTCGCGATTTTTTCGCTTACTATCGCGTCTGTAGGCGCGGGAATTACAGCTTAGGATGAGCCTTTTGATAGCTCGCTATTACTTTCAGCTTATACGCATTGGTGATACTTGTGAGCTACTGTGAAGTTGCCAACTGGAAGAAGTTCGGCTGAGTGCTAATTCATAACTTCATAGGAGTTTATAGTGCAAATGGACCAATGGGTGCCTCCCCTAGGCCGGACAGCGCACACTAAACTTCAATGCGACCACTGTTTTAGCTGAAGGAGATGCGGGTGTCGGAGATCCATGCTGCAGCGCTTTGTGAACTATTAAGTAGCTGGTAATTCGAGTGGGTAGATTCGAATCAGCGGACTTCTGTAGCACACCCTTCGTCAGTCACATTAGTTCCTTTGAGGTTGATGCACATGGGACGCCAACTGTTACGCCGTTTTCGCCTCGTTTTTCCCCTGTAACGCTCATAAAAATCCAAAACGCTCCGCGTTGTTCATTCCAAGTCCTTTTCTGTTTACATCTCAAACCACAAAACAGCGTTTGGTTAAATATGGGACCCTGATAGGATGAGTAACTCAATGATACACCGACAAATAATAATCCACAGCATGTTTGTGATGCTTGCGGAAAAGTCTCTTGAGATCGGCAAGACGGAAATTCGTTGGGCGGTAATCCACACGGGAGTAGTAGTAACGGCGAAAGATCTAAATCAATTCTGATCAGTAGATGAAAACTTGCTCATGGAAATTTGTCCAAAGCGGATTTCGAATTTGAATGAATGGTCGGAACTCATAAGCGTCGTGCCCTTCTCTTTTGTGCACCCTCCTTCTTGCGCTTCCACTAAGCCAGCAGAAAGAAATAAGGAAGAAACAGCTTTTACAAATCATCGCATATCTTACAGACCTCATCATTACGTACTGTCGGCGGTTCAGTGCGGCTGCGTTTGGCGCGGTGCCAAATCCGCCCTCACCAGTATGCTGTACGGCCAATGCATATTGGCTGTATTGCATCCTCCGTATTACTCGTTTTCTACCACTTTTTGTCGCATACGCGTTTCAACAAAAGGCTGAGAACGGCTTCAGCAGTGCGCACACACATACTGGCTGACACGCCCACCCAATGTATTGAGGACTGCTACTTCTTGTTAGTCTTCTCAGAATACGTTAATGTTATACCAGTATCCTTGCCGAGGGTAAAAACGTGTCAGAGTCCAACAATATTTGTATTATTCAAAAGACAGAGAGGGGACGTGGGCATGGGTGGGGGCAGCAGCCGTCATATTGAGTCGAACATTGTGCATCTCTCAATAAGTAGGCCGTATGGAAGCCCGCGAGTTCGTCGTTCCCGCCCATACAACGTGTGGACTGCCCACCACCAAAGGCAGGCTTTGTGATAGTCGAGATCGACGATGATGCTGGGGTGCGGTAGGAGATGCTCGACGACCACTGAGGGAGCAAAACTGTTCAAGTTTTGAAGTTCAAATTAAAGTCCCTCTAATTGTCGTACACACCGCTTTGAAGCTAGCAACTGCAAATTGCAACCTTACAGAACATTACTGCAATTTGAAATAAGGTTTTGAATGGTCAGTAAAGGAGCGCCGATCCACTGAATTTCTTAGAAAACCGAATGGAGCTGATCTGCAGAGACTCTAAACGAAGTTCTTTCTAGTGCGTTACCATATAAAATGCTTCATTTCCCTACTGTGTACTTCATTCACTACTTTACCACCTGAGTCACTCTGATGAAATAGGAAGGAAATCAAAGGAACGCGTATACATGTCTGGATTAAAAAAGGGCGAGGAGATATGGCTTTCATGTTGCAAGTATTACGAAAGAGCAATGGCTGATCAGTGGTTCAGCTGGACGTCCGGTCGGTCGGCAATACCGTCTTGCTAACTGAGGATGGTCTGGCTGTTAGAGAGCGCGGGTTTTGCGTGCGCCGCCAGCTCCGTTTTTGCTTAAGTTGTTCGAGGGGGTGAGACATAAGTATAAGTGGAAAACTGATACGAATGATAACTGATACAGTCCCGTCGCCTGCAGGAAAAAAAGAGAAGAACCGAGCTGGCGCCGCGCTAAACTCCTCCCTCTGACACCCCCCCCCCCCCCCATCATCGCAGGGCGAACTGGAGTGTATCTGGTAACGTTGATGGGCTAAATGGAACCTCTTTTAATCTCGATTTCTGTTCAGTCAATGATGAGCACAAGCTTAAATTAGGGGTACTGTACAGCCTAGCCCACACACTAAGCACGGCACTTGCCTTCAAAAGAAGATCCGAGTGCTTAAAAGCACAGTTCACACCTATCGCACTGGCGTAGATATAGACGGCAGCAGTTATCCAAAGCACGCTCAAGACGCTCCACCTCCTTTTCTGAGGGAAAACCATGTCAGTGAGGAGGGCACAATGGCAGTCTTCTCCCGCACGATCCATGGATGGCGTTCAAAATTAAACGAATAATGGACCGAACCTACCGACATGTACTTATTTCTCCTCACACTCGGTTCAGCTGAAGAAATAATGAGGTTAGAGAGGTCGAGAGCAACGTCGCCGAAGTGCACGTTCTAGAACTCATTCCACTCATGGATTTATTCCATAAAACCACTAAAAGCTCACCTCCCAATCGCTGATATCAACCACTTCGTTCTCATGAGGTCCAACACCACTCTGAAATCTTCGAAATCTTCAAGAAAATTCCCCGTTGGAAGGAGCACAACTCTCTACGATTCCTTCTTTTATAGACAGTTCTCGTTATTGAGGTGCATACTATTACTCAAATTGTCTCATACTTACACTGTACTGCGATATGTCCTTGAAATGGCAGTTTTCCGCTGTGAGATGACCATGGCAAATGACACGCTCTGATGGTTCGGTGAAGTCGTCGTTGTGTTTGAGAATAGCCTCCAGCTGGAATGAATTTGGCTACGGTGTGGGAGGTTTTTCTTCCCTAGTAAGCGGCAGATTTAGTTATTTTTGTAGAAAATGTAACGAGCACATACTGAGTCAATAACTGCAGTTTTTGAATAAGTAGACGACTTTCTAAGCTGTGGATTTTGGAAGTGGATTTCAGCGGGCTATAAATTACAGGGCTATCTAGGAGGTTAGGCTAGCAGTAATGACACCAAGCTACAAGATATGTAAGAGATAACACCTGGATGAAGAATCAAGCCCTTCTCACTGCACATTAAAACGGACAGTCCCCGCCGATTGTATGGGAGGAGAACGCCTGCACTGACCTTCTTCTTTAGGGTTCACCCTTCCTCCCAGGCGCGATGTAGGCGAAGGGCTCGCGCCACCAAACGAGAAAAGCACAACGTGCGTCGGTCTCCGCATCAAGAGTCACTGTGCCCTTTTGGAGCGCCACGCATTTCAGTCCACTTTTCATTAGAGAAAACGGAATTTCATATCAAAACGTAAAAAAGATGACAAATTTATTGAAAAAATGCAAAGTTTCTTTCCTACTCACCCTTGGTATGACCTCCATTGGCAAAGAAAAGTAATGAGATAATTCGCCCCTGAGCGCTTCCTTTAAAATGCCAAGTAGCTGAGGCTCAATGGAGACCTGGTAACGGCGAATGTTCTCGTGATTCTCTTCGATCACTCGGAGAAACTGAAACCGGGTTCGTGTTAGGCTTCCACGAATTCAAAGAGATTTTCAAAGTTAGTCTTAAATTTTCGTTATTTCTCGAGAAGTGATGTAAGAATCATACCTCTGGTGCCATAGATGCAGTGTTGATCGCATGTACTGCGCCTAGCTTTTCGGCGACCTTAAATTAATTCATTTTACTTCACATTTGAAATTATAATCGAACTTCAGAACTAATAATCGTATGGGTTTTGCATTCAGCGGAGAAAGGGTAACGGCCTGTTCACCACGCGTGCGGCCCCCTCTGGTCCAACCAGGCCTTCTACATTGTACTGCTTGTGAATTGTTATCAGATTTAAGAAGATAAAGCACTGACATCGGCTGGCTTCTGCAAATCGCTCCGTAGGGAGCATTCAGTGCAGTGCGCAGACGAGTAGGAAATAGGCAGGGCTTAACTGTCAATTGTCCCTGCCTTGCCTCTTATTAGGGTGTGTAGCAACAGAATCGTCCGGTGCAGCTGGTGGGCGTGGCCTGCGACATCCTTGCGGCGAGAAGACAAATCATGCGTCTGGCCGTTTGAATAGGGATATTGAAGGGACGGTGAAGATTGATATCACCCAGGATCGAGTCTTGTGTTCAGTCGCGGTTGAGTTTTTAGTTGTTTTCTTTGTTTTCTTTTCTTTTTTTGTGTTGTCTTTTCTTCTTTCTTTAGAGAATGAAAAAGTTCATTAGAGCATGAACTTCATTAGGGTCTTTAACATTTGCTCTGGTGTGTCATCTTTTACAGCAGCTCACAGGAAAACTTGACCATTCATCTATTAAATGTTGACGCTGACGACTGCGCGAATCATGTGAACCACATAAACATAGGGAGAATAACAGCCTTATTTGATTTCTTTTGTATTTATTTCCTGAAGTTGCGTCTATGGATCCGCCAAACAATTGTGTGTTACTATCAAGAGAAACATCGTTAGATTTTCAATTATTGATGAAATCTGGTAAACGTTGCGGATGTACGCTGTAGTAAATCATTTGCTCCATCAATTATTTGCTCCATCGACAAAGCTGTGGCTAACAAACGTAGCGTCCTCGAGCTGATGCGCATCACTGGCGGACGCCCCGTGCGGAGCGCGCGTGCCCCGGATCCTGGGCTTGCCACGTCTCCCGCCCCCCCTTAGGTCATGTACATGTTGTCTGGAAGCTGAGCGGTAAGACAAAAACTTCACAGTCCAAGTTCACAACGGTATTATAGGCAGGGCCAGGCCATCACCATGCTTTCCTCATTTGTGGCATCTCCTTTTAGTAGGGCAAAAAAGAGGAAGGCACCAGGAGTGTTCCAGAAAGATGTAGACTGTGCCTACGCTTATGTTAGGGAGGGTGAATGCTAATGCTTCATCCCGATGACGGAGTAGGCGTGACATTTGATCATAGCAGACGGTGGTTACTCGTAGGGTATTTCACTTTGAGGCAGTTCATCTTGTACATATGTTGACAAAGGCTGATTACAACTGTCTCAAATCAAATATGTAACGAAAAGAAACAGAGCCATGCATACCACATCTTAGGATTTTGAGTAGAGGGTAGCATGTGCTATACATTTTTCGCCGTGCATTAACCGTTTTCATCGATGAAGCGTACGCCTCAGATAGATCATCCTTAGACAATTCCCAGCAAACCACAAGAAAATATCGGGAAAAGGTCACCAAAAACAGGTGCACTACTGGTCCGACCGTGGTCATCTAGTGGCGGATGTGGCCATATGTGGGCGTACGTTTGGGGAGGAAACTGGCGCCTCCACAGGCCACTGTATTCTTGCGGGAGATGCTTAGAGAGCCGATTTGCCACGCGCTCTGCCAGCAGACTTGATGTTCTTTTCTGTTAGGTGTATTTATCCTATACGCCTAGTCGGTTTATCGTGCTTTTGAGAATACACAGGTTTTTTCGTACCCAGAAGCAGGGACGATTCGAAAGGGTTCAGGCCTATCCGCTCACCAGGTACAGCTCGTTCTCGCTGAGATGATGTTTTTGTCGACCTTTTTCGATTCGTATGACGAACACCAAGTAACAGATGTGTTGTTTCGAATTCGAAACGATGCGCTCCAAAATGACCACATGGAATGCCAGAACGATTTGGTGGGTCAAAAACTTTTTGTTTTTCTCGGTTGGAAAGAATTTCGAGTTGAAGAAAGCAGCCTGCAAAGCACTCGTTTTTGGAAGCTTCAGAACTGAATGAAAGAGATCCACAACATATAGCAGGTACGACAAACCTACAAGCTTGGAAGCGTCAGAGAGTGACATTGTTTCTTCTTCCACATTTTCTGCGAAAAACACGCGATAGTGAATATGTCCGTTCTGAAAATATAGGTCAAAGGAAACGAGATGACTGCGGACTTTAAACCATCTGCAAAAATAATTATAGAAGAAAAACTGATTGAGGTTTTCTTATACTCTAGTGTTAGCGAAGAATAATTCAATAGAGATTAAAGACACAATATGCATTACTAGCTCTAGGTCGATTCGCGTCCGAAAATGAATTTGCAGCTGACTTATGTGTGAGTTAAGAGCAGATGAAATTGACATCCGACAAGATAACCCGTTAATAAATTATCCCATTTATTCATTTGAGACTCGAGCTGTCCCCACAGACCTACGATTGAATCTAAAAAAGACAAGGAAGTATGCAGTGTTTGAAAAATGTAGGCAAGAACGAGGACGAGCGAAAAGGCTGCAAGTTTTCTGAAGGGGATAAGAACCGGGACCCTCATTGTGTCAAAACTAGTATGAGGGTCTTCTCGGTACGATGAAAGAGTTCACCGCAGCGAATTCCTGCCGTCTTTGGGCCAGAACGAAGCGGACGACAGCAGTACTGGGCTTAACCTGGTTCGAACGATTCGTCGTGCGACCCAGGCGAAATAAACCAAGGGGACCCAAGCGAGCATCATCTTCCTTTCAAGTTCCCCTTAAACGGACTGAAACTTCGCAGTGCAGCCCGCGGTTTCGATACACTTCCACGACCATTCAGCTTATTGCTCCCCCAGCTATATGCTCGGAAGTTAGAGAAGAAGAAAAAAGCTTCAGAAATAGGACAGGCATATCATCATCAAGATCTGCAAGGGTCAAGAGGCTCCAAACGGATAGGAACACTGCTATAAAGCCAAGAGGTTTGTCGTCCGGCGCAAAGTTTGCACAATAAGTACATCGAAATCCCTGAGATCGGGTAGGCGTGGCCGCATGTTTCAACTTATCCTTAAGGCGTTTACGCTTCTGATGCGATATTTTCACCTCGACACAATCGTTGTCGTGTCTCTGTCCAACACAGAACAAGATGACAGTTGTCCCAGACTATATAGTGTCGAGTGTGAGTGTAAGCAGTTCTTTTACAGTGTCTCGAATGCATCGCCTACCCGATCTCAGGGATTTTCGTGTACTAACCTATCGGGCTCATGCATGCGAAGTGTACGCTGAAAGGAAAAAGTCAAAATGACTCAGCGAAAAGTGCCGCGTTTGGTCGCGTAATTGATAGACGAGCAGTCCAGCCCGATTATTGGATTTGAATGTTGAGGGTCGGATAAGTTGATAGTTGCCATCGCACTAATTACATCATTATTATAGTTTTGCCTCCCCATTCACTCGAGTTTCACTGCTCCAGTCGACGATTTGGTGCACAACATCAAATGGTCGCACAGTGCAGCACGATATGCCGCGCGCGACGCGAATTACGATTGGACGAAACTATCGAAAAACTCCGAGTGCTACCTACAGTTGGTTCAGACATTGCGAACAAAAGAGACACAGCGATGCTTAGTTAGGCCAGATGAGCGTGGAATAGAATCATAGAGCTGCACACACACCAGAGGCCGAGAGAAACAAACAGCAACCACCACAACATCGCATCATGCGGTGTTTGGGATCTAAACTAGGGAAGGTCGTCAGGTCGAAGTGGCCATTTGTAATGAGATGTAGCTCACTAGACGTGCTTTTGGACGCTGATCTCGAATCTGCCTTTGAAATTTGCAGAACGATTCTCTGAACGGAATGGATCGTGAAGCTTTTTCCACCGCGTTTACCACGCAACAGGTCGTGGGATCGGATCCCTGCTGAGCTTAACTTTTTTGCTTCTTGTGTCAACGTGGCAAAAAGTGGTTGTAGCGTCACTACTACATTAGCGCTCTCCTTGACTTGCCTGAAAAACAGTTTGTGTTCGCTTACTGGCGCGCTTAGTGCCTTATGATCTAGGAGAATTTTTGGATGTACAGGTGCCCTTGGCGCGGAGTGCAGGCGTTTTCGCGCTGAGCGAGTGCCATATTCGTGTTTATCGGGGCGAGCTACGCCTAGGCAGAGGTTTCTAGCTAAATCTGGCATTTTGACCTGACTTCGAAAAGTGAAGCATCCATGGGTTAGTTCAGTTGATGTTCACACCTATTCAGCTGCAGATACATTCTCCTGCACAAAGACCCGTCTCCCCTCTTCTTACGCATTCATTTTATTACTGCTCCAGCGTTTTCCTCGCGTATCTAAAAGCAAATTCTGTCCAAAGACAAGCAATCGACAAGAGACTGGCCCTGGAACTATTGGTGACCATCATTCGATCAACTGCTACCGCACTTTTCAAAGTTAGGTCAAAACCTCACATCTGGCTAGAAACCTGTGTCCCAAGGGTAGTTTTGCTTCCTGAACACGAATATGGCACCCATTTGGCGTTTGAGTGATTTCTAAACTTAAAAGAGACATTCCCCACAAAATGCAAAACAACTCCCCTTCCAGAAATCCGAACCCTTCATACTATACCCGTGAAGCAAGACCATTACCACTACACCATGCCACCGTTGAAGGTAACGATGCTTCCCGGCTATTCATGCGTTGGCCGGCGACCGCGCTCGACTCTGTTTCCTTCGTTTTAATTCTAACAAACCTTCATAATTCCGTTCAGAGAATCGTTCTGCAAATTTCGAAGGCAGATTCGAGATCAGCGTCCAAAACCACGTCTAGTGAGCTACATCTCCTTACAAATGGCCACTTCGACCTGACGACCTTCCCTAGGTTAAGCTGCGGCGAGTTACTGGCCATTCACGACTCAGCGCTCTTCAGTGTGGCAGTGCGCACCCATTAGGCAGCTGCGACTTCGCTCTCTGATGCACGGAAAATAATACACTTAGCGTTAAAAACAGTGTTAGGTGTAAAACGCGTGTTGGATGTTTTATACCTGATGGCTTTTACTGTCTTTAGAATCATTAAAAAACTATACATTTGCTTTTTCAGTATGAAACCGCTCTTCAACAGTAACCATGTTCTGGACAGAGGTTTGAGAGATGGCGTAGGTGGAAAACCGTACCACAGAAGTCCACTTCGGAAGAAGGTAAGATTATACTGACTAGTGTAAATGGAGGGCAGAGATGCGGTGCCACCAAATGTTCTGACCAAACAAGCATAGAGAAGCCACAACGGTTCGGATCAGAAGTTGGATGCATGGCGCATCCAGGGAAGGCAAATTATGGGACTTTTTTCATGCACCATTTTGCAAGATGGACAGGTCAATCATTCCACAATTTTTACATGTTACTTGCTAGTCAAACAACATAAACAACGCAGCGTATACAAACAATCACACGTATACCGTTGGAAAACCTACCTTAATTTCGAACGAGCTGACCGTAAGCTGGTAGTCGGTCGAGTAATCACGTAGTTAAGTAAATGCAACTCCTTAGCGACAAGTTCGGAAAGCTGCATTCTGAACAATGACGCCGCGTTTACGAGGTGAGGCGCGTCTCATGTTCGCTGATATCTCAGCAATCAAAGCAAACACTGCTCATACTGTTCTTATCGTAGACATTTCTCAGCAGAGTTCAAGGAATCGATAAGGAAATTTCGTCCGTGAACGTACACTCTCTCACATTGCCAGTTTTTGTCACTCTGTGAATGTATTCTATGTTGGCATAAACCACCAAAATATGTGTGCTTGGAGGCGAGCGAGTTTGCACAGTCAACCTTACGACGGAGACAAGAACCTACAAAATTAAGGTCCTCTCTCGATCCTATAATGAAGACGTCAGTTATCTTGAAGATAGCTTTTTTACTTATGGCGAGAGTAACAAGTTGCCACCATACTAGTTCTCTAGCGTCGTTTCTTGGTAGTGCATTGCGGGCCTAGGAACGAGGGAACGGAACTGAACACTGATATGCTTCTCTCTCTGTACCGTGCATGTGGGCACACTTGTCTGTGCGGACTTTTCGCGCCGTTGTTGAAGAGAACGAGGTAATGTCCCGTGAGTCCTTGAAGACAGTAGAATAGAACCTTTGTGCCTTTCACGTCCGTCGGTTTCTGGACAATCGATCAGTACTTGCCGTTTTCTTATGGCCATATAAGAACCAACCGTTCCTAAGAAATCTACAGGGGGGGCCAAAAAAAAGTCATTTCGGCCGAGCCACATATCAACGAAGTTTTCGCAGCCCAGACAGGGGAAGTGGATATGAGTACCAGAGTGGAAGATACCCAAGATCTTCCTCTATAAGCTGGAGCACGCTGCCGCCAATCGCCTTCATGTACGCCAAAATATGAAGTCATCTCCAGTCGCGGCCTGACTGGAGAACACCTTTGGAATTCACGTCGCCTCCAAACAGCTGCGAAACTTCTTGAATGAAGTCATCCACAGATAGCTACCTGGAGGTCAGTACTCTTGATCTGCAAGACCTCCCACATCGACCAGCTACGGCAACGTCGCTACGGTCTAGGACATCATCTTCACCGTATTCGCCGAGGCGCGAGTTGATGGTATGGACCGGGTACCTGGAAAGGGGAAGACCGATATTTTCTTTGTAGACCCCGACTGAAGGTGAGCGCTGGCGGTTACATCAAGCAACTCGAGAAGAATATCCTCCCCACATGTTGTCGCTCGTACCTTCTTGGAGACCGTGTACTGCTACAGGTTTTGGTGCCACCACATGGAATCGAAGGGTTTTGGAAAAACTCTCTCCTACTTCGAATGAAAGGGCGCTTCGTACCTGAAGAAGATGCAATATTGAAGTATGCCCCCTGACCTGAATCCCCTCAATTACCTGGTTCGAGCGGAGTTCGATAGGGTGGTCTACGGTGGCGGAGAAATCGACTACCTCGCTCAACTCCGGTACCCACCCACTTTCGCGCGGCCGAATCTCTCGATGGCGCTCCTCCAGAAGGCTGTGCGAGTATCATTATTTGAGTATTTTAATGTGCTGCTTTCAATATGTAGCTGAAGAGTGATATTGTGCGTCGGGGTCATAAAAATTTGAGAGTGATATAGTGTGTGTGAGTGTTAGTAGCGCCCTTGGAAGTCGGGGGATGGGTGGAGTCAAAATGACTTTGTGTGTTTGGGCCCCCCCTGTAGTTGTTGGATTTTTGTTTCGTTGCTTGCTTGTTTGTTTGGAATTTCGGTTGCTCACCTAACAGCAACCTGGAAAAAATCGGGGTTAGGGACTGGTAGACAGAAAGTCAGCAGTGTTATAGCGACAAAACGCTATTCGCTGCCAGAAGAGCTAGAGGCCCGGGAAAAGTCAGTTAAGTAGGCAATGGGGCTATAAAATGGGGTAGGCGGGAAATGAGGGGCACATCCCGATGAGTAAAAGTGGGGCGTACCTCTCGATGATGGAGCTTGGTCCAAAGACTGGCCTTTCCTGGTACACTCTGGGGATCGAAGAGAAATTGATCGAGATGGGACATCTACCTTACTCTCAAGCGATAGACGCTTACTGGAAACTGTAATTTGGCTCCAGGGCAATCCGAGATCCGGGAAAAATCGTATCAATGTCGCCAAGAGGATGTAGTTGAGATAAAGATGACACCTCTGGCAGTCTGAGATACGTAGGCGTGAAAACTAAAGCGACTAAAAATTAAAGTTTTTAAATCGGGTATACACTTCGTTCAGCAGACTAAGAATTCAATAACAAATGAGGCAGGAATGTCAAAATCTCATAGTTTGAATTCGATGAGTCATACTTTCTAGCTGTGCTTGAACGCAGTGGGCACGAGCTGCTGCGAGGTTGAGCGCTCTGGTCATGCCAGTGCCACTGATGGAAGAGCTGGCGAGAGAGTATCTGGATGTACCCACCTAGCCCTATCAGCAATGATGGAGGCAAACAGCCCGCCCCAGCCACCATGCCCACTGCCATTAAAAACACATTCCGACCACCTGGTAGATAGATTTCCTCTCCTGAACACGACATGGAGGTCGTAGCCTCGCATATTGTATCATTTCGCCGCTCGAAAAAGCGTGGTAAGAGCTCTGGGGGCATGTAAAAGCTATGGCCACGGCTTATAGCCTACAATCTCACCCATGGCGTATTGATATTAGCTTGATTATATCCGCGACTATGTGCTTTCTCGTTCGCGCCCTGTGTCTCGATTCATCGCACACTTGCTCAATATGAAAATTGGCCAGATAGCAATTGAGGTGTTTTCCACGGCTCCTTCTACCTT